TCAGACCCACAGTCTGACTGCAAATATACTGCATATAATTATATAATAACTTTTATTTTTTTAACTTTATAACTACAACTAATTATAGTCATAACTGAAAATAGTTATGGTTTCACTTTTACTTAGGTAGAACCAGGACTGTCTGAAATTCTACTCAATCTTTCTGTCTATATGGAAGGAAGTTCCACATATTCTTTTAGAGAATCTCTGTATGTGATGATTCTGGTATTTATTCTGATAATAAGAAGATAAATCTTTTATGCATTCCTGTGCCTTACTTTGTTTGAATAAGGCAGAATTTTTAACAATACTTCAAAGTGAAAGTAGGGCAAGCATTCTAAGATACGCATAATCTTTTAAAATGATACAAAAATGCACAGTTTAAAAAAAAGAATTAGAATACTAGAAAACTGGATTTTTTAAAGATCTAGCAAATTACACATTTCTTTGCAAGACTTAATAATTTACATGTCTAAATTTATTCCAGTTTTATTCCAGTAATGTATATTTACTACTTGCCCATAGAAATCTTTTGAATGCTATGGTACTACAGACTTTTTTCCCCAAAAATGTATAATTTTCTTATATGCCTGAAATATAGATGTGTGTGTACGAAACTTGACTGCATATGCACCTGCATCCTGCTCAAAGTAATTTGTAGGGTTCAGAATTTACCTAATTCTCTTGCTACTGAATTACATTGAAACAGTTTAGTCAGAAGCAAGGTTAGATGAGCATGTTGTTATGAGTTCTTTTGTCAGTGAAATACACATTAAAATCAATGGCAATTTATGTTTTGTCTAGTTTTTAATAGCTGTCATTTTGCATGCTTTTTTTTTTTTTTTTTCCCTGAGATAATTACTTTTTATTATGGAATGATGTTTTCTTAAATCAGAGGATCTTTTACTGTATAGGCACTCACTATGATTTGAGACAGACTTCTGGGCACCCACTGAAGAGTCTAACAAAAAATAAAGCTAATTCAATGAAATTATAATCCTGTAGGGATTTTTAGGGGCATTGGGTTAAAGGAAAAGAAGTGAGCCAATGTCAGATGTGTGGGAGGACAAGGATGGCAGTTGGGCAGGTTTGTATTAGAATGTTTTCTGTGATATGAAAAATGTCCACGACTTAAAGGATTAACCTATATATATGTGTGTGTGTATGTCTGTTCATGCAGGATGCAGGGAACGCAGAATAATGTTAAGGTTGAATAAATCTATCTACAGAGTGAGCTGTCACAAATGTCTTGAAAACTGTTTATTGTGAAGGATATTTTCTGAATTTTCAACTACTGAACAAGCATCCATTTATAGATGTATGTAATGCATTGAGAGGAGCAAGAATAATCTATTAAATAGTGTTGATCCTAATGCAAAAATTCTGCATGTATCTGCAGCTTTGTCTCCATGAGCATGCTTGTTCTCATTGCCATTCAGTTTAATCCTCCAGCTTTCTCAGGGATATTCTTTCTGGAATTCTCTTTTTGTTCTTTAAATTATTAATGCCATTAAAATTTATATTATTCTGTCATTACCTCTAAGAAAATAGAGATTGTAATGTGAAACATAATTGTCTCATTTTGCAATTTGTGTTATGATAGTTGGGCACAACTAGGGCAGATTTAAATATTCCCCTGAGCAATATAGATAGGTATTAAGAACTAACTGAAGTTCTTTTTGTGCAGATAAATAAATAGATAAATGAATTCCCCCAAGTGACCAATATAGGTTAGCAAATAGATAAATTAATGCTACAAATTCTTGAAGAGTGAACTTTGCCATTAATATGTCACGTTAACAGAAAATAATATTTAAAGGAATACCTTTTCAATGTTGAGTTGGGTGGTGAGAACTAATAGTCAGATTTACACTTATGTATGCCTACCAAACTATTGAAGTGTTCCCTAAAATATTTGGTCTATCCAAAGTCTTTCCCTTAATGAAGGGGAAATACAGCATAAGGACACACATATAAGAACATCTTTTATTCCTGGGAAAAGTGCTCTCTCTTCATCCTCATTCAAGAAATTCAGTATTTACAGGCCTGACTGCAAATTGCTATTTGAGATGAAGGGCAATTTTTCTTCCTTAAAACATCCCAGAACCAAGCAAACGACACTATTAAGTAAGGATTTACCCCTGTTGAAGTAATAACATCATGGGTTCGCTAAAGTCTGAAAGTGGGCATTTAGTATGGAATTTGGTGAGGAGAGCTTGCATGGCCAAACCAATTCATAAGTACTATTTAGAAGGCAGTGTTCACACCTAGTACAGAAAGTAATTAGTGTGCTGTCTTGTGATGTGCAACGATCCATGACTAAGATTGGAAAATTGGGGTACATTTGTTTGGAAAAAAAAAAAAAAAAAGCTCTAGGATGGTAGGATGGTTTTAAATGATTTTCTTAGTTTTCTGTTTCACATTGTGAAGAGAATTTTCCTATGATGCACAAGAAAGAAAAAAATGTAATTTTTAAACAAATAACTAGATGAGTAGAGTTTAATTATAAGATCAGTGAGAAATGTTTTTTCCTCTGTGACTTAAAACTATTTATTAAATACATGCTGTTACCCTAATGGATATAAATGTAAGAACCAACTTCACATATATTTATTTCTTCTTTCTTGGATTTCAGTTTTCTTGTTTGTTTGTTTTCTCTGTATTTATCACAGTCAACACACAGGTGACCTTTCTACATGTGACATTTAAAATTTCACGTGCTGCTAAGCCAGAACTATGGTTTTCCTATAAATGACTCCTTGGGGCCTACTGACACCATGCAAGGTGAAGGGCTGCAGCCATGCCACTAGGCCAGGGAAGCACAGCTGGGCCGCTCTGGTGAAGGATGGTAGTCACCTGCTCCCCTCCACATTTCAGGCACTCAGCCTCACTGTCCCACTCATGAAGCCACCCCAGGTGCCCCACAATTGCTTTGTAGGTGCCCCTACAGCCACGTGGCTGTACCACCACCCTGGCTGGAGTCAGCCTGTGGTAGGCCTAGAAAGGCCTACCTGTTTCCTTCTTTGACTGTACAGTGACTAGGCTCTCCCAGACATGTGGCACATGTTGAACTGAAGTTTTGGATGATTCATGGACTTTTTCTCAAAAGCTATCTTCTGATTCCAGTCAGTCTCAGTTTGCCAGTCAAGGGATGCAACCTAGAGGGTTATGAGTTTAAGGTATCCCGCAAACCTCTTTCCCCCTCAGACCGCGGTGGCAGAAACTTTGACATCTTTTGTGGCATTAACACCCTCAGCCCCAGAGAAGGAGAATCGAAGGCCGCTCTCTGAAGGACTCTTCTAGAGCTCAGGGGTCTCCTGCAGTGACCCCCTGCAAGGCAACAGGCAAAGCCCTGAATTTTCTATTAAGACTCAAAATCTTTGGCTTCTTTTGGAATATATTTATTTCTGTTTTTCAGCACCAGTTGGTCTATCATTAATACAACGAATGTTACCCTCTATGAAGTTAAAAATTCATGTTCCCAAAAAATGATGGGAAAATCAGCAAAGAAAAACTAAATTGAGCCAAAGTTACAATACTAGTCAACCGTAACAAGTAATTATAACAACCCCACGGTCATTTCACTCACAGCTTGACAGAGCAAATGGCAATAAAATAAAATATTTTTTCTTGAATGTTAAAAGTACAGAGTCAAGTTCACTTTTGCTGATGACACATCACAAGGTGTGGGCTGTGGTGACAAAACGGAGAAGTACAGTAATACGAATTGTTGGCAGCCTTCTGAGAGAGGCCCTGTGTGACCTTGGCAGTGGGGTGGCCCAGATCTGCAGATTGCAGACAACCTGTGCTTGAGATGGGCTGATGTGACTTGCAAAGCTGCTGGTGGCAGTGGTATGGAGCTTGGATGTCAAGCAGTTCCTCAAGAAGGGTGCGCCTGAGGGAACAAATGCAGTCTGGTGCAACCGCCTGTCATTTCCCATGGTGAGCTCCTGGTAGGAAATAGCCATCACAAGCTGTACCACTGTTATGATTTCAAGATCAGCTAAGACCATGATTTTCAAACTATTTGTTCCTAGGGTAAAATTACAGGGTTTGTTTAGATACAGAATACATAAAAGCATGTGGTTGAGTTGGCTTCAATTGCAATGTAAGGGCAGTAAGTAGATGCACGCTCTGTCCATGACCTTGAGGTTTCCTTATATCTTTCTATGATTCTGCAGACAAAAAAAAAATACTACAGATCATACAAAAGGAGGGCTGTGAAGATGGTGAAAGGTCTAGAGAGCAAGATGTATGAGGAGCAGCTGAGGGCCCTTGGTTTGTTCAGTCCGGAACAGAGCAGGCTGAGGGGAGGCCTGATGGCGGCCTGCAGCTCCCTCACAAGGGGAGCGGAGGGGCAGGCGCTGATCTCTGCTCTCTGGGGACAGTGACAGGACCCGAGGGAATGGCACGGAGCTGGGATAGGGGAGGGTGTCAGGAAAAGGTCCCTCTGAGAGGAGGCTGGGTGTCAGGAAAAGGTTCTTCACAGAGAGGGTGGTCAGGCACTGGAACAGGCTCCCCAGGGAAGCCATCACTGCACCAAGCCTGTCAGAGTTAAAGAAGCATTTGGGCGAGGCTCGCACATGTATGGTCTGATTTTGGGTGGTCCTGTGTGAACCAGGAGTTGGACTTGATGGTCCTTGTTGGGTCCCTTCCAACTCAGGGTATTCTAAGATTCTATTTATCCTATATTATTCTGTACGCAGAAATTCACATTCGTATGTGTCAATCCCTACCGTAAACTTTCACATATTTTTGATTTCATAACCTCAGAAGTCTTCCCTGAGTCATTATTATAAGGATTAGTCTGAATAATTTATTGTTTTTATGGGAAAAGTATTATCTTGCAACATTCTCAGATGTAGGGGCCCTATTTCCTAAAGATGGTAATGTTTTCTATTTGTTGTTTTGGTCTGAGTATGTAGTAAGGTTCTATTTTGTTAAACCAACATTCTTTCTGTATACATTTTGTTTGAAGACTTTTCTTGTTTTTTACTTAGAAACCTATTGAGACCATCTTGGTGCTTCTCTGTGAGGAACTACCTCCACAATATGTTAGTATTGCCAAAATAGATGGTACTGTGTTAAGCTGTTTTCTTTTGTTTCAGATGATTCATTTAAAAAATGCTGTTATTAAACAAAAAATATGAACATTTGTCCTAAACAAAACACACACATCTGTAACTTTTTTTTTCTTCCACTGTTCATTTAAAAACATTTATCAAATAATAAAAGATAAATATAAAATGTCTAGGCAGGTATATATTTTTAAAAGACTGTTTTCTCCATTCACAGGAAATCACTGATAATGAAATATTAGAGTTGGTACATAGTGCTCTGGGGAGGATGACAGTTATCCGGCAAATTTTCCCGCTCTCAAGAGACAACAATCAGAGGTGCATGAGGAACAATCACCGGATATCGTCACTGCTGTGCGATCCCCAAGAAGGCTATCTTCAAATGCTGCAGGTCAGTAGCTGTGCCCAGCAGAGAAGTCTGTTTTAGGAGTTTGACATGAGATAGTTTTCTATGACTGAATTACCTCAGAGGAAGAATAAAATTAATGCAGACAAATCTGCATATAACTTCTAATCAGCTTTTCCTGACTTAATTCTTTATTTCCCAGAAATGAGTGCCTTAGATACGATCTTATATCCATTAAGTACTAGAAAGCAGCTGCACTAACTCAGAGGTGGTTTTGGATATGTCATGCTTTAACAATTCTCTTTATATGTGGAAAAAAAAAAAAAAAAAGAAAGAAAGAAAAGGTTGTGCTGTGCCATTATAGTATTGTGGTATCACAATCATATTTATGCCTATTAGACATCTGATGTGAAAGAGTTAATCTGGGAGGATAACAACTTTGTTCAGTATTAGACTGCGGAGCATTTCGTATTTAGTTAAATGGACTGAATCCACCTGATGTGCTCAATCTGTCCCATTTCAGTAGTCTCAGAAGTCTCTCACAGGTGATGATTGTTTGAGCATGTGAAACAGACACTGCTAGTTTGAGTTCCAGATTTTGGTAATAGGTTTGACTTTGGTGCAGGCACTATGTCAAGATTTCTTGGTAATTTGTCCCAGTTATTAGAATTTTTCTCGTATTAATTTCAGCTTTAGCCTAGTTTTAGTAGCTATTTCCAACGATAATGCAAGAATTTTTAATAGGGTCTTAGGCTTTTGATAGGACTCTCTGTGTTTCTAGTTTACTTTAGTTATGGCTAAGAATTTTGTCTGTAGTACTTTTTTAAGCTGCTGGATATAACTGAAAACTTTAGTAAGATTGAGCGTACAAGCTTGGTGACAGCCTTTTTATTTTAAGTTTGATCTCAACCCAAGATGGTGTGCGTACACAAATGTCAAACTTGTGAGTTGGGAAGAATGGGTACTGTGTGTGAGGGTGAGTCTATTTAGGGCTTGGTTAGGCTGTGGGGAAGAGGCTGTCTGCAGTCTGGGCTTCTGCAGCATGGTCAGGAAAAGGGCTCTTCCCAGGGGTTAACTCACTCTCTGGTTTGGAAGAGCTTCTGCAGAGCAAGGTGTGAGGCTTACAGGAAATCAGGAGAGGAAGGGAGAGAGATGCATAGGGAGAAGTGTTTTTTTTTTTTTTTTTTCTTTTTTTTTTTTAAGTAACATGGATGCAGATGTATGTTGTACTTGTTTGGGCCCTACTAAAAAAGGTTTTAGCTGTAGGAACTGAAACCTTTAAGGAAGGGCATTTCCTCCTTAAAGAGAACCTCTGCCTGACTCAGGTCAGAGTGGGTTTGGGAGCAGACTTTAGGAAATGCCCATAACATGCACTGTCTCTCTGAGCACTGGTCTGCTCTTTCTGTGTAGGGAAAGTCTCTGCTTATCTTGGTATTTGAAAGAAAAAGACACGTTTGATCTTTGTTAGCAACTTTGAGGTATACTGTAATGAGAACAAAGGCCACTCGTTTCAGAGGATCAAAGCAATTTCTAGCATGTTGAAAAAATTATCTATCCTGCACCAACAAATCACTCATTGGGGAACAATCTTGCATTATGACAGGATTCTGAGTATTTCTGTCTATGCTGGTTTATGCATAATGTAATTCAGAGACTCATCTGAAGGGCTGGCAGACACCTCTCTGAGGAAGTTATTTGCTAAACCAGTAATTGGTTTGCTAGCATGAATAGCCTCACGCCCTATTACTGAAGTTCACTGACAAAGGACTCTTTAGGAATCTAAATACTCTTCCTACTGCTTCACAAGTGTGGGTTTTGAGAAGCAAAACATCTTCAGCATTCAGATTTTCTGTCCTTCGGAAATATTATACTGCCTTAGAAACAGTTATTAAGAGAATGGAACAGTAATGTTATTCTTTACCCATTAGTTCCTTCTCAAGGAACTTAGAAACAAGAAAGGTGCAGAGGTATATAGTTAATATTGTGGAACTTGATTCCATAACTTTCACATCCAGCTACACTGAAAAGGAATACTAAGAAAAATGAAGGACAGTATTCACTATTACCAGTCTCTCAGATTAACCACACTCAGTAATCTTATGTTATTTTTAAGTTTCTACAAGTTGAATATAGGATGTTTTTATCATATACTGCTATATCTAAAGCATATCTGCATTTTTTCATAGACTTTGCCAAAACATCTTATGTAACACCTTGTGGGTATAGAGCTCATATTCATTTCTAAGTATGACTGGCCTATTATTAATGGTCCTGCAATTCAGGTACTTCCAATCTTCTGTTTCCCTTTTCTTGCTTAAAAAATTGTTTTGACCTTTTGCTGTAAAGAAGTACATCACTAAATTACCCCTGTTACCAGAGGCTGCAGTAGCTCCTAGCTCTGTGTCGGGCTGTATGAATCCACCAGAGGCACTGACCGCCTGCTGGCACTGAGTCCTTGCATTGCTTTGAAGTAGTTTGATTAACACCACAGTTTGGAAATCCCTGGCTCATGCTCCCTTGGGCAATTTCATATTAATAATTCTTTGTTGTCAAGGTTACTTACCAGCTATTGTTGGTTAATTATTTATTTAATGACTTTGAAGAAGAATAAGCTGATCTCTGTCAGCCTCTAGCTGTAACATTTTATAGGGGAGAATTCAGCTTTTTTTAACAAGCTAGTAAAGAAAGAAACATTTACATCATGGATTATTAACTTTGTTCTGGCTAAATTAATGAAAATCTTGTTGGCATGGTTTTGTTCTCAGTGTCTTTACTACCACATCCTGGAAAGTTGTTTTTCAGTGGGTGATCATCCCAGTTTGGCATTCTGACAAGGCTTTTAAAGATCAGCCTGTTCTGCAAGCTCATCCAAAAACTCATCTGTTCTGAATGTTTTGTGGAAATCCAATCTTACTCCATCAACCCACTTGTCAAAATTTTGCTCATACCCTTATTTCTTGCACATATAATATGCCCAGCTGAGTTTCTGCTTCAACTGGAGAAAAGTATTTATAAGGTTTTCTGTCTGGGTCATTTTATTTGAATTCACAGGACTATATTAATCTTGGTCTTATTCTTCATAAATGATTTTCTGTGTCCATCTCTTCTACTTTTTATTAAGTGTAGCACTTGTTGTCTTCCACTGATGATGAGTATCGTGTGGTTTGGGCCATCAGCATTGTCAGTATTGCCTTGTCTGGAGAAAGAATACTGAGGCATGTTGGGATTTAAAGACTAATCCAGTTAATCCTCTATGCCTTGTATGTATGTATTCCTATGCGGCATTTGAATGTGTTTGGCAAGATAACTACTATTAAACTGTTAAGATGATTTCAGACATAGTTTTTATACATTCAATTTTAAGAATTTGAATGCAGAATCTTCTTTTCAAACTCTTTCTTTTTGAACATTAGCTTTGGAGCTTGTCTACAGACTTAATTTTTGACAAAGATACGTTTACGTTTTGTGTTTTTTATGGTTACGTTTTTATGGTTGTTTTTTGTTGTTGTTGTTGTTTGTTTGTTTTGTTTTGTTTTATGGTTACGTTTTTAAGGAAATATTTCTCTTTAGAAAAGTGATTTCCTTTACAGTTTCCTTCTTCCCTTATTTACTATTTAGACAGTTGATAAATTCAATCTATGTGAGAGCCACATAGGTTGTAAGGATGTAAAACACATTACAGGAATGCAGGATATCTGGAGTTATTTAGCATGGTCTGAATATATATAGTAAGATTAGAAAAGCAAAAAGAAGAAAACTCCAGCAAACTGTGTCACAAAAATAAGTTATTCCTCAAAGGATTCAGAGTCCCGCCTCTCTACTGAAGAACTATTCCAGGCATTGCTTTGACGTATTTAAAGAGAAGATGTTAAGAAGTGTGAGAGGGTATTCCTTGAAACATCAGCTCTTCTTTCCATGTAAAAACTTCATCCGCTGAAGACTAGACCATCAGACAACTTTGTAGGCATCTCTTAGCAGTTGCTTCTTCAGAGCTACATTTTTGTTTTTGAACTGTTTTCCTTTCAGGAATTGCTGCAATTTAGCCACTATGCATTGGAGGTGTTTGTTTGTTTGTTTCCCAGTGTTTGGCTTCATAAACTTAAGGGCCTGATCCTGCAATTTTATCCGACAAAATAGCCTGACTGTCGTTTGACCTATTTATACTGCTGTTATCACACAACTGTTAAGTGCTACTGGGAGCAATAAATATTGATTGAGCCCTATTAAAAAATATACTTTCTGTCATAAAGGATTAATGAGCCACATTTTTCTTTTCATTATAAACATATATTTGCATGTCTCTTTAGCAAAGCTTAGTTTGGACTATTGGCCAGATGTTCAATCACAGTAGAAGCTGTTTTCTTAGCACTGCATGAATGAAAATTAGTCTTGAACTGACTTCAGCACCCATTGCATGGGATATCTTTCTCTCAAACCCTATAGCATGTCTTTAGGTGTGTTAGCAGAAGTATGGGCTTAAAAAAATAATATTTTTTAAAGAAAAGGACACCCTCCCTCTGACCAAGTGCAATTTTGTGACAGCCTGAAGGTTTGAAGGTGTGGTGGTTTTGCCCTGCTGGGCAGCTAAACTCCACATAGCCACTCCCTCACTCTCTGTCCTCAAAGGATGAGGGGAAGAAAGAAATTACTGTTTTCCAAGCTCAAGGGTTGAGATAAGGACAAGGAGATCACTCACCAATTACTGTCATGGGCAGAACAAACTCAATGTAGGGTGATTAATCTAATTTATTGACTATTGCTGGCAGACTAGAACAGTAAGAAATTAAAAGCAAACTAGGAACACCTTCCCCCCCATCCACTCTCTTCTACCTCCTCCCCCTGAGCAACACAAGGAACCCATATTTGTTTATATATAATGGAGGGTAAAATTATCATCTTACACTCTATTTTTCCAATTCTAGTATTACCTCCTGTCCTGCTGTCTGACTCTGTTGTTCTCAGTATGCCTTATCAAATGTCTCCCTGGACAGTGAGTGTTGGCTGTGCCAAATTCTTGAGATGTCTGGGGAACAAAGCCAATGTCC